GTGCACAGGTAGGGTGTCAACCTCTTCAGCGATGGGCACCAGCTGTGTGTGAGCTCCCCTCAGAGCCTGACTTGCTTATCAGATGCCACATAAATAGATCCCACCCACGAAACAATGAGAGATGCCAATTACGAACACTTCACTTCGAATGGTTCTTCTAAAAGCTTTTAGAAAAATACCTTTTAAAAAATGAGACTCTAAGTATGCACTATTCTATAGGACCCGTTTTCCATAATATGCTCATATTATGTTCTCTAAGCCAATACACAATGATATCTCTTCATCCTTGACTCTGAGGCATCATTCTGAAAAGGTACACTGAAATTTGCAATTCTATCCAAAAGCCCTTCACCAACGAATGTCTTCAAAATAGATAAAGTTGTATTTGTCCGCCATTTAAAATTTCAGCTACCCCAATTTATCTTGGGGTGTTTTTGCATTTAACTTTTCCACTGAGTAATTCCTCATCCCTTTGCTTTCTGTTAGCCCCGTCAACAAGATACAATCAAATGGGGAAAAAAAGAAAAAGAAAAAAAAAACCACCAAAAGCATAGCTGTTTGGTTTTATGAAAACAATGCTGCAGAATTACAGCACTGGCCACAACATATTTTAGTGCTCGGAGAGAAATTACCCTGAAATTGTATATAATTTAGCTATTTACCAAAAAAAAAAAAAAACCCAAGATGTACTTCCTATTTAGAGGGTTAGCAGTCTTATGCTAATTTTGAGAAATAAAAACAAAAACAAGCGCAATCGCAGAAAATAGAACTTCTTTTCCTTATTCTCTTAAGCTGTGAGAGTAAAGAACTCCCTGGAATTTGGTTTCGAAACTAGATCCATCTAAATGATCACTCTGGACAAGAACTGAGGCTGAAAGTAGGTAGGTAAAGGGATATGCATGACAACAATTTAATACCTGCACTGCAACTCATAACGCCCAAAAGGAGAGAGGAAGAGAAGGGGGGAGGGGAGAGAGAGAGAGAGAGAGAGAGAGAGAGAGAGAGAGAGAATTCAGAAGGGAAACTGGAGCCATTGGTGGTGGGAAAGTATACCGGTGAGTGTTGGAGCAATATATCACTGAAACCCAATCATGAACAACTTTGTAACTGTGTATCTCACAATGATTCAAGTAAAAAAAGAAAGAAAAAAGTGTATGTGTGTGTGTGGGGGGGGGGGGGGGTGGATCCCTCAGGCCAGTGCTTTAGGAAAGGTTACCGTCTTGCCACATTTCACTCACAAGTGCCCTGCCTTTCCCCACACAAGACAGTATCCCTCTGTGCAAAGTCTGAAGATGTGTGTCCATGTGAAAGACATGGGGTTAAAGGCAAGGCAAGAGGCAGAGAGAAAACCAGAGGAAAAGGAGCAAGGAACACCAAGGGCCTCTCATCTTCTGCGAGCCCTGGCAAGTGAGAGAGTGAATAACTCGCTTCACTCAAGAGCCACAAGTCACAGCAACGAGCCCCAGGGAAGCCTGTCCTCCGTGCATTCCCCCACCCCCACCCCCCAACCCCCAGTGTCTAGGCAGTGGAGAGAAGTCCACAGCTGAGGTCAGTGCCAAGGTGCACAGCCTGCCGTGACATCCTCTGCTTACGGGACACAATTGCCACAAAAAGCCAAAAGGCTTGTAGAAAACACACATGATCCGCTTCTCGGCAGAACTGCCCCAGAGAAAGATGCGGCAGTGGCAGAAAATGTACCCAGTATGGTTCATTTTTCTTCTCTGGCATAGCGATGTCCAAGCCACGAGTGGGGAAGGGCCACTGCGTGAGTGTGAATGTGAATGAGTGTGTGTGTGTTTTGTGTGTGTGTGTGGGGGGAAGATTCTGGGTGTGTGTGAGTTTACGTACACATCTAAGGGGTGGGGGCGCAGAGAGGTCAGGCTAAGACAAATTTTCATAAAGTGGTTTCTAAAGCAGCCCCAAGGTACTGCTGGGGTCAATGTGACCGTTACCCCAGAGCTGTCTTGGCCTGAGACTGGGGTACAGGAGGGAGCTAAGACGTGACTCATGGGCCAGGGACGGGCAAGAGGATTCAGAAACCCAGAAAGGAAGTGCAGTATCTCAACCAAAGTTGCTCAGACACCCCGGGGCAGGTGCCGGGGGAAGACACCAAGAGGAAACCCAGACACAACAGAACTGCAGGGCGCCATGCAGACACAGACACACCATGTGACAGAGCGGGACCCAATTGTGCCAGACTCCAGACCCTGGATGAAAGGGAAGCTGCGTGTCATCTAGTCAGGGCAAGCACCACCTTAATAAAAAGGAGCGGTGTCTAACACAGTGGGTAGAGTGTTTGACTTGCACGCAGCCAAGTTGGGCTCCATCCCCAGCATGCTACATGGTCCCCCGAGCACTGCCAGGAAAGATTCCTGAGCACAGAGATGGAAGTAAGCCCTGAGCACTGCCAAAAACAAACAAACAAACAAACAAACAAACAAGAATTTTAATGAAATAAAAAGGGAATCCTGGGGCAGGAACCAGCTTGGAAGGGACTGATATGGTGACGGTTGCAGAGCTGTGGGGAGAGTAGACCCAGTCCTGTGACCAAGGGGTCCCAGTCTCCTGAGAGAGAAGCGGAACACCCCTAAGAAATGACTCATGAATGAACGAAAAGGGCATAACTCTGAAGCCATGTGTCCTGGGCAGGCGGGGGATGGGACGCCCACACCTAGACAGCACAGTGGCTCTGTTTCAGGGCGTCTGTACCCTGCCCACAGTATGCACTCTCACACACAGACCTGGTGTCGGCCACGAAACCATCATGGAATACGGACCCTCACCATCCACCTGGACAGTCCTAGAACACAAAAGGAACTGCCCTGCGCTGACCTGAAGGGGACAGCAAGCACCCACAGCCAGGGCACCTGCCTTGCATGTGGTCAACCCCAGTATGATCCCTGGCAACACACAGTTCCTTGAACATCGCCAGGTGAGCCCTGGAGGCTCCAGGCATCACTGGGGTGTCTTGGGTGGACTGAGAAACCTTCCTGGGAAGCCCAAAGGGAAACAGGATCCAGGACAGGGAGACAGAAGGGGGCAGCTTCTCTGCCACCCCAGGACCCTTTCCTGCTTCGAGCTCACCTCCTAACACAGGTACATCCTACCAGCTGGAAACTGCATTTCACTTATATGACAAAGGGTACAGGGTCACAGACGGGGAGAGGGGCAGCGAGCAGGAGCAGGGGCCCGGGCAGTGGGGTTGGGGGAGGGGGAGCTGATAGTGAGACAGGCGCGGGGACGGCTCCTCTACCGGGGCGTGGAGGGCTGACCATGAATTAATCATGGGGACCTGGAAAACCAGGGGAAACAAAAAGTTGTACAAGTAGGTAAATGAAATTATAAAACTCTACATGGCTCGGCTGTGATTAATATTTATAGAGTGAGAATAATGAAAACACTGAATATTAATATAGCCCCAAATTATTATTTAATCATAATGGAAGATGGCAGGAGGGGAAGGCTATGTGGGGGGGAATGGAAGCGGATGGGGTTGGGCGCAGGGAGTGCGGGCGGTGCGTGTGCCCGTGTGGGTGAAGTGTGCGGGGAGGGGGGGGTGAGTGTGTATGAAGAAAGGGGGTGTTGGCAGAGACAATTTGATAACTCTAAGATCAAAAATCCATGTGGGCTGCTGGACTGGTTTACTTGTGAAATCTCTGACTTTCATAGCCGAATGTCTAAAACTTCCAGAAGGAAAAAAAAATACCAAGAAATTGCAAAGGCTCATATGGAAACATGGAACGAAGTCACAAAGGAAGAACTGACAGTTATAAGCCACAGGGGTAGGGGTGGAAAGTTTCTGGACCTTTCCGCCCCCGGAAGCTTTGAAAAATGTGAAATTTAGGGGTCAGAGTGATAGTACAGCAGGTAGGGTGTTTGCCTTTGCACACGGCCAACCTGGGTTTGAACCCCAGCACCACATATGGTTCCCTGAGCATCACCATGAATGAACCCTGAGCACAGAGTCAGAAATAAGCCCTGAGCACTGCTAGGTGTGGTCCCAAACAAACAAATTTTAATAAGTGTAATTTGCTAACTCTAAGATCAAAAATCCAGCTCAGAGATCACTGAGAGCATGATCAGAAGGGACAGGGGTCTGGGGAGTGGGTGGGGGAGCTGTTGAAGGGTATTCAGCAAGGCTGAGAGAGAAATTCTCCAGCAAGGGGGTACCCATGACACTCCTGGCAGGAGTGAACAGGGACCAGGGGCCTGAAGGATGATGATGGAGCCAGGAAACCAGTCAGGCTGGAGTGGTCAATACTCAGAAATGATGGCCAGAGAGAGGGAAGGGCCAGAGGATGGAGAGACTCTGGTCTACTGTGACTTTAATTTAACCCTATGGAGCTAGAGTGTAAGTGTGTGTGTGTGTGGGGGGGGGGGGGGGGTGGGGGGAGGGGCGGCACGTATCCCAGCAAAGTGGCTCTGGAGTGACATGGGAGCAGGAACTGAAATGGCCACTTTCGTCACTCCCGGCTGGGGCCTATTGCAGTGTATGCACAAAGCGTCCCAGGCTGTGCTCCCAGGCTGAGCAGAAGGGGCTGGGCAGGTGGGGACAGGGTGGAGGCAGGGCAGTGACCCTGAGTGACAGTCAGGAGTGGGCGGGGTGGGGGCAGAACAGAGAAAGCGACCAGGGACAAGGGGACAGGGCGGGAGGAGACTCCTGTCACCAGGACATCTCCAGGAAGCCGTGGAAGAGAAGCCAGCTGGGAGGGCGGGAGCCTGTACAAGCGTGTGTGTCCGTCTCCTGCACACGCGCAGCCCAGCCTGGCTGCGTGCTCAGGACTGAGTGCAGGACCCCTCGGCACTGGCAGCCCGCCCCTAGGCAGGGCAAGACAGAGCATGGAGATAAGTAAGTCGGGGGAAGATCCCGCATGAAACTTCTGCTGGCCCGCAGAGGCGTCTCCCAAAACAACAGAGGTGCTGAGTTTGTTACAGAGAGGCCCGCGCCTCGCGGGAGCCCCGGGAGGCTGCCCTCAGCCCCTCCGCCCTGCGCTGCTCACCTGGGTCCGTGGAGGGGCACCTGCGGATGGTGAAGATCTGCCCCAGGTCCTCGTCCTCCTCGGGCAGGCCCTTCTGCAGCCGCTGCAGCTTGCGCAGGCTCTCGCTGCGCTGGTGCTTCATGGAGCGCACGTGCTGGATAAGGTTGAGCTTGGCCTTGGTGGAGTAGTTGCACAGGACACAGTGGTAGTAGCAGCTCTCGCCCTCCACGCCACTCTCGTGCTGCTGCAAGTGCTGCAGGGGACCAAGGAGAGAGGCATAGGCCTCAGGTAAGCCACAGAGCCCAGCCACAGAGTCCGGCCACAAAACTCAGCCAGGAGGCCCTGCCATAGAACCTAGTCAAAGATCCGAGCCACAAAACCCAGCCACGGAATCTGGCCACAGAACCCAGCCATGAAGCCCAGTCACAGAACCTAGTTCTGGAGCCCAGCTACAGAACTCAGCCACAGAACACAGCCACTGACTCCAACCACAGAGCCAACCATAGAACCCAGTCATGGAACCCACCGAGCCCAACCACAGAACCCAGGCACAGAGCTCAGCCATAGAATCCAGCTTAGGAGCCCAGCCATGGAGCCCAGTCACAGAGTGTGACCAAGAACCTGGCCACCACAGAGCCCAGCCATGAAATACGGTCACAGAACCCAGTCATGGAGCCCAGCCACGAAACTCAGCCATGAAGCTTAGCCACACAGCCCAGCCACGAAACCCGGCCATGGAACCCAGCCATGGAGCTCAGCCACAGAACCAAACCATGGCGACTAGCCATGGAACCCAGCTACAGAACTCAGCCACAGAACCCAGCCACGCAGCCCAGCAATGGAACCCGGCCACAGAATCCAGACACAGAGCCCAGCCATGAAACCTGGCCACGGAACCCAGCCATGGAACCCAGACATATAGACCAGCCATGCAGCACAGCCACGAAACCCAGCTACATAATCTAGCCACAGAACCCAGCCATGGAGCCCAGCCACAAAGCCCAGCCGCAGGACCCAGCATCACGGTAAACCATCACCCCTCCCCACAGAGGAGGCACTTCCCCAGGTGCCCCAACGTCTCGTCCCCTGGAAACACTGGTTCTCTTGACACACACAGCGTGTCCCTTCACCCCGCCATGCGCACAGGGGTCTGCCGCCTATTTCTATCAGCAAAGTCTCCGCTTGTTTGGGGGGAGGCAGCGCCACCCAGATTTCTCCCCAGCCACATCCAGAAAGCTCCCTAGGAACACGGCCAGGGTCGTGAGCGGCCCTCAGTGGCTCAGAGCTGATGAGACCGCGGGGCCCACACAGTCCATGGGCACCTCCCTGGCCTGCTCCAGAGTCGGGGGCTATGGAGAAACTTCAGCCACTAACGAGCAGCCAGAGCTGCCACCTGGGTTCTGAGGAGCAAGGGACCCTGGGTGTGTGTTCAGACCATGACAGTCCCCAAGGAAAACCCCAAAGAAAGCATTCACCAAGATGGAAAGGCAAAGGACAGGAAGGCCCCTTTCCCTGGCCAGTTCCCCGCCAAAGTCTCCAGGTCACCTGCCAAGTGTCTCATGGTCAGAAATGCTGGTGCTGCAGACTCAGTTCCCCAGGGCGGGCTGGAAGTGGGGACAGAAGGTGACATGAGGCCGTGAGCAGAGCCCAGATGTCTGGTCCAGGGAGAGGCTCCCCAGGGAAATTGAGGCACCAAAGACTCCATTCAATACCCTCTGAGAATATTCTACAATGTACAGTCATCTTTACTTTCGGAAAAGGACATCCTCCTGGCAAAGGCCTGCTTCTTCCTTTCCAGCGCCCCCAGACCTCATCCCACAAGCCAAACTATGTACCAAGTCATTTCTGAGAGCATGGGTTTGGGCTTGAGATGGAGGATCAGGAAATGTGCAACAGAGGCAAGAACCAGAGTCCTGGGGTCACGGGGAGGGAAAGAGACACAGGAATGAAAGCTCCCGCGAATACAAAATAAAACAGATAAGAATCACAAAGTCATGAGCTGGGTTCAGGATGTGTCACCTGCCTTAACACCTGAATAGCTGCAACCTGGCCCCCGGGGTCCCACATTCTTCCCACAAAATGGATTTGCTGGCACTAAGGTGGAGTGTTCTAAGGAGCCCATTCTAGCATGGGTGTGAAGGTGTTTTTTCAAATGGCCTCCACCAGTTGGCCAACCTCTGAGTAGGACAGACGGTGACAAGGCTGACAAGGGCAGGCAGGAGCTGGGAGGCCTTCAAATCCTCTGGCCAGTGGACCAGAGTGCCAAAGTTCTGGACAGAAAAATTCTACCAGGAACTCCAGAACAGAGAGGGGAGGGGAGGGTGCCCAATGAAGCATTCCAAAGCCTACCTGCTCCCCCACGTGAGGCGGGCTTGGGGCACATCTCCTGGACCCACCTGGAAGTCCACCTGAGAAGAAATGGGGTGCACAGCTCACATTGCGGAGAAAAGACCACGGGAGGAGGGGCCCAGAGCTGGGGCTGCGCCCATCCCGACTGACACGTTTGGGGTGCTCTCACAGATACTCACACAATGCCCACGTTAGATCTCCCAGGATGCCTCGGCACTCCACGCTCACCTTCCCTGCACACACAACGCCCCTGCCCAATGGATGAACGAATCCAGAATGCTTCCAGTGAATGAACAGAGAGCACGCCCGGCAAATAAATGAATCCAGCGTACTGCCGGATGAATGATCCAGAATACATATTAAGAACAAATGGATCCAGAATACACCCAATGAAAGAATTCCGAATAAACCCAATAAATAAAAGAATGAGGTATACATCTAAAGAATGAACGAATCCAGAATACACCCAGTAAATGAACAAATGTAGAATATACCCAATGAATGAATGAATCCAGAATACGCTGGTGAAGGAATGAACCCAGAATACACCCCTGCTGATTAGGAACCTCCTGCGCACAGAGCCTCCGTCTGACTCATACCCTCAGACCCTGGTGGCTTCCGGGGCAGGTCCCACACTCCGAATGTGGGTGTCTCCTTGCCAGGTGCTTCCCAGGCTTCCCAGGCCAACTGAGGGAGCAGATAGGACCATGGAGGATGGGCACAGTCCCAACTTAGGAACCCTGGCCTGGCAGGAGATGCCCATGCCAGCCGCAGTGTGCCACTAGCCTCCCTACACCCTCATGTCTGAGCATAAGAAGCAGACAGGAGGGAGGGAAAGGGCACAGGGGCCCTGGCATGGGGAGCCACCCAGGGACACGCTCACCCCATGGGGGAGAGGAAATGTTCTCATTTGGCAAAGGAGGGCAAGTAACTAAATAGAACCCCTTCCATGGGGGTCACAACGCATTGACTTAAGCTCACTGTAAGAGGCCAAGAGCCCACGGGGCATGGGTCCCAGCAGATCCCACTGACACAGGGGATGTCAGCGCTCAGGGTCCTCTCACTGGCAGGGAGAGCGCCCCTCTGACATAGGCTCTGAGGGCAGGGACCCCATTTGACTTTGCTTGGTTCACTATTTGGCTCCTGAGACGAGACTCCCTTCTGCTCCCCTGGTTCTGGGATGTGACTCATAAGCCGTGGGGGCAGAGGCCGCAGGTTCCACCCCCACATGCTAGCGATCCTCAGTGACCATTGTGACCACGTGGGGGGCGGCCACCGGATGCAGAGGCAGCCACCATGGCAGGAAGGGAAGTTGGGAAAGCAGGACAACTTCCCACAGAAAACCAGCAGCCAGTGCCCAGTGGGGCAGGGCTTGGTTCTGGTTTGATGTGATTTCCAGTTACTTATTTTTTTTAGTTCAATTTTTTAAAAAATTAAATTTTAATTTATTTTTTAATTGAGTCACAGAGAGCAACACAGTTGCAAAGCTGTTCATGATTGGGTTTCAGTCACATAATGTTCAATACCCGTGCCTTCACCGGCGTATATCTCCCATCATCAATGTCCCAAGTTTCCCTCCCCACCCCGTCTCCCCACCCCTAGTTTGATTTTAAATGTCCTTAAGGCACCAGACTCCACCCTCACAGGACAAAACAAGCGACAGAGGGATCTTGGAGGACATGCGAAGGGGATGAGAGCAGGACACGTCTTTGGTTTGAATGCTGCTATGAGGAAAACCTGTGGGTTATCGGGAACACTGACTTTAATCCCACAAAGGAGCAATGCAGAGTGAGAGCAAGCAGCCCCACCTGAATTGGTGGTTGAGTCGGGGCAGGAACAAGTGGCTGCCAAGGGCCCTTCAAAACCACAGTGCTCCAGTCAGCACCCCCATAGCCTGGCCCACCCAAGGCTTTCCAGCATTCTCTGAAGTGTCAGTCTCAGAGCCTGAGAAAGAGTATAGGGGTGGATGGGGTCTGCGTGATAACACAGCAGGCACGGCATTTGCCTTGCATGCAGCTGACCTGGGTTCAAACCCCAACATTCCATATGGCCACCCGAGCACCACCAGGAGTAATTCCTGAGTGCAGAGCCAGGAGTAACCCCTGAGTATTGCTGGGAGTGATCCAAAAAGAGCGTAGGGGTGGAGGTACATGCCTGCATGTGCCCGACTGGGTTAGATCCCTGGCACCGCACGGTCCCTCAACCACCATGGTACTCATGGGCAATGGCAAGCACCACAGGACCAACAGTACTGCATCCCTGAGGCCTACACACTGAACTGCCAGCCCCAGTTGGCCATGCATCCCAGGGATGGGGTCCCAGGCTTCCTAAAGCCCAACTGGGAGATGCCACCAAAATCTAAAATAAGGCCTACCAACGTGCAACCATTTCTACCAAAAGAAACTTCTACACTTGGCCACGGAACTTTCTCTGGCCGCAAGCTCCATGCACAGTGATCTACAGGAAGAAAGCAGGTACTCATCAGCACAGCAGAGACGGTCCCACCAGCACGCCCAGCTCCTCCAATCATGGGCTGTAGCTGCATGACTGAAATCGTGGCCATCCTCACCCCCTGCCACCTGGGCTTGACGCAGGTGCAGGCGGAGAAGGAGGGCACCGGCAAAATGAATGTTCATTTTGGGGGTACCGGTGACTTCCTCCCCAGTTCATGAGAGCTGTTGGTTTTTGTGCCACACCCGCTGGTGCTCAGTGCTTAACCCTGGCTCTAAGCTCAAGACAGTCTCAGGGTACAAGATGCAGTGCCAGATATTAAACCTAGGTTGTCACATGCAAGGCAAGTGCCCTACCCACTGAGCTACCTCTCTGGCGCTAGGAATTCTCTATCTTTAGAAACTCATCCCATCTCCTTATAGTTGGTTCTCAGCCCCCCACTGGAGGCAGCTG